TTTGTGAACGATGAAGTGGAGATACTGACTATTGTGTGCAGCTTGCTACAATATGAGAGAGGCAGTGGAGTTCTCGGCGAAGCACAACATCACGCCGCATATGACGACGTTTGAGCTGGAGGAGGTGCCGAAGATGGTGGAGCTGATGAATGCGCATAAGGCCAAGGGACGGATGGGCGTGGTGTTTGACTGAAGGCGTTGGCCGTATGAGTGGGAGGCGCAAAATCTACCAAGTTACAAGCGATGTAAGGTGGAAGGCTACTCATCCAAGTTCATCAAAATACACTCATGGCGGTTCAGGGCCGGTTTTTGAAGACTCCGATCCCACACCTTCGACTATAAAGTCTTCTGCTATGGTACCTCTCTCTTCTCCTCACTCACTTACTTTCTGCTCAAACACCAAAAACTTTTGCGAGAGTAACCCATGGCGTCTGGCCTTTCTGTCTCCTCTTTTTCCAAAATTCGCTTGCACGGCCTCATGTCTACTTCAAAACGCAAACTTCACTTTATATGTTCCTGAGTTTGGAGTACTGTGGTTATAAACCACTGTATCATTATCTCATGTTGAAGTCTGCACGAAAACAAAAACTATATAGGCAGACATCTTATGTGCTGCGCTTCTTCGGTGTGTGAGCTTCACACGCCAAAACCAACGGACTCACTTACCAATTGGACTTGAGCAGGGCTCAAAAGAATGCCAGGGATTAACCGTGTTTGCGCGAAAAAGAGTCATTTAGCAGATACATAAAGAGGCCACTCTCACTTCTCTAATCTAAAAACCGAGGCAACAATGGAATTTTCCAAAAGACACTTTGAAAATCGTGATGTTTGGCCTCCTGTCCGCTCCGTAGTCATCGCGGTGGACTATAAATCAGCCTCTACTCTGGTTTCTTTCCTTGTCTTCTTCAACAACATTTACCTACAGTCTTTTTCCAAAAACTTCGTTGACACCGCCCATGTGCCTGGTTTCGCTCTTCTTCCAAAAATATGAACAGTAGCTTACGATGAACGGAGCAGGAGATGGCGCAACTCAAATGTCTCTCCCTCTTCTTGTTTCTGACTCTTGACTCTCAAAACTTGTGTCCAACTCTGAAAGCATTATTTAACTGGGACATGGAGAATGGTCTCTGCGGTAATAAAATCTGCTCGAGATCTGGTCATGGCTTGAAAAGACTGGTTGTGGGATAACGCGAGATCCTAGCTGTGGAAGTACTCAAAAGAAAACCACGTCTGGAACATGAGAACTGTGCCCCGGGGTCATGCTATCACCCATGCTCGGTCTGGGCCAAGAGTCGGTGCACGAGCCCGGCAAGAAGTGCTTGAATACTTCTCTCCTTCGACATCTCTCTTTGCTTTTCGCTCCACACCACTTTGCATATTTACCTAAAACGTGCGTAGTAACCATCCATGTGCTCCTGCCCTCTTCTTCTCCAAGCCATCAATACCAAAATCGATGGACCGACCCAGAAACGGATCAAAACAAATCGCAAAGACCACGATGAGTTCTTCCCCGTTTCTTCCGCCAACATCTCTCGCTTCCAAACAACATGAACAGAAACGCATATTGGGAAAGCACTTGGAACAAGACACAGAGTCACTGTATACATGTTCCTGAGTGCGGAAATTGAAACTTTGCAAGATACACCTGATGGGGCTGTAGCCTTCTTTGGCCAGTCTAGAAACTGGGAGCAGTTGAACATAAATACTCGCCCTCCTCGGCTGTCCTCTCTCCTTCATACTACACACTTTCCGAGATTCACCAGAACCCCGAGTGCCTGCAGCCATGGCTTTCTGTTCTCTCTTTTTCCAAAACAGCAGACGCTTTTGTTCATGACCCAGCTGAGAAGTGAACAACGATATATCAAAACTTCTTACCTGGTTCTTCTCTGAGCTATCTTCTCATGACTCGTCACTCTTCAAACACCGAACAGTATAATGACACGTTCCATGTTTGGGTTCTGGTGTACCAAAAACATTGGCTGAAGCTTTCATGTCTTCGAGGCAAAGGCAGGGACTCAAAACGGGCCGAGAGAGGTTATATGGAGATTGTGCTGTGTTGATTGCGCAATACGACATCAAAATCCTCTAATCACCTGCCGATGAGCAGACTCGAGAGGAGCGGGCTATATAAACACCATTTCCTCCTTCTCTGACACTCCATCACACCTCCTCTATCTCTTTTCTAAAAAACATCCTGGGTGCTTTCAATGTGTTGGTATCTATCCTCTTTCCAAAAATAGTTCGTCAAGCCGTACATGCAGGTAGCTTCGAATGCAAAAGTTATCGTGCGGCAGTTCATAAACCAAGATCCTTTCTTCCAAAACCAATATCTGTCTGCTCGATGAATCAGCCTCGCAGTTCCCAGGTTAACCAGCTTCTATTAGAAACCCCTCTAAAATAGGTGTCCACATATGTCATGTCTTCTGCAGGAGAAATCGCACTTCCTCCATCACCAAGACCTTTCCCTGTCCGAAACACCTTCAGCTTCACAACATGTCCGTCCTTGAGGAATACCATCTACATATAAAACCCCTCTCCTCCGCCGGTCTTCTTTCTTTATATACCACCTTCCAATTCTTCATTTACCAAAATCAAAATGGAACCATTTCTATGGAGTCTGCCTCCTCTTTCTCCCCCAATGTAAAAAAAGGGTACAACAAATGATCTGGCCAGAACACCATAGCCGCCCAGTTCATGTTTGTCGGTCTCAAACACCGATGATCTAGTTGCACGGTGGTGGCTCTGCGCGAAGGAAACTATTATAAATGCGCATTGGACTTGCGAAGACTCTACGTCCTTTTCTTTAATACCTCCGTTGCTTCGAACCAAAATAAATGGTTGTTCTGGCCATGTGTGTGCTGCTCTGAGAACTGAACCATAAACAGTAGTTCACTGCCTCTTCACTACACCAAAACGACTGCGTTTCGCGATATCAAAAGCCTTAGGTTGTTTGGACATGACTGTAGTTGCCTTGCTGGTTTTTTCAAAAAAAAACAACAACACAGATTTCGCGATGTTGTAGTCAAAAGACTTCCACATCGCTTGCATGTTCCCTGCTGAAGAATATACTTCAAACCCTCATGGAGAAGAGAGTTGTGGACAGTCCTTATTAAACCCAAACCTACATGTGATCGATGCATGTGTGGTGGTTTTGGGACGTGTTCCGATAGCAATCCAAATACTGAGCGATACCCGCAAATGGGTGCTGTGGAGACGACGTGCCTGGACATCATTGAGGAGATGGTGGTGATGATGATCATTACTCTTATTTTGTCATTGTTCTTGCTCTTCATCGTAAGGCTATAGCCAAGCACATAGCCTGCTACCAGTACACTCCACACTGCATCCTCCATCCTCCACGTGTCTTGATGCGAATATCGTACACCACCCCATTCCATTCTTCCTCTGCACCACCAGCCTCGTTGTCCCTTAAACAATAGTCTCCAACTCCCTCGCATACCCCAGCGTATTCTCAATAACCTGATCACTCGTAACCAAAATATCCCTGTTCAGATACTCGTCCTCCTGCTGGGGGAAGTATATCCTGCCGTCCTTGACAACCCAACCGCTCTCCTTCGCAAAGTTGACGACGCTGCCTTCCGAGTCGAGGAAGAGGAGGGATTTGGCGTCGGAGATGGGGATGGAGGGGTATGCGCGCTCGGAGCAGGAAGCGATTTCCTTGCGGATGGTTCCGATGAGGATCTACGACGTGTTAGCAGATAGTCCGGTCTGACTTATGAAGGATATGGTGTGTTTGGTGGTAACTACAATAATGACGTACCTCAGTAAACAGCGCAAACTCCTCGCCAGGCACCCTCTCACTCTTCGTCTCAACCCACACCTTATCGTAGCTCCCCTCCATAAGCGCCTGCTCCAGACGAATCGGATACTGGATAAACGGATCAGCCTCTAGCTTCGCGCTCGCCTGGGCGGCCGCCACCTCGAGCGTCTCGAGCAGCGTGTGGAAACCCGCGTAGTCGCCCTCGCTCAGCAGCAGCAACAGGTACAGCCCCGTGACCTTGCTCGATTGGCTACCATCCTTGGGAAGTGTGGACTCTGGCAAAGAGTAGAAGGGTTGCAGCTGCTGGAAGTAGCGGGTAAAGGACTCGGTGTCTTTGAGGCGGATGGAGATGATGGCGCCGAGTTCGAGCGTCTCACGCGCGAGCTGCAGGTGTTTCCGCGGGGACTTCTCTTGTGGGATCAGGGCGTTGAGGTTGAGGAGGGCGATCTTGGCTTTGCTCAGTAATGAGGTGGATTGCTGGTAGTTGTGCGACTTGAGCGTCTGGTGGAGCTGCTGGAGCACGCTGGAGAGTTCCTTTTCGGCCATGGTGTGCGGTGTCTCGCTTTTGGTGGTGGTTGTAGATGATGGGGAGGGTGAGCGCGGGGATTGGGCGGGTTGATGGCGTGGTCGGGTTGGGGTGTTTGTTGCGGCGAGTGGAAGCTTCGGTGGTTTACGTCGGGGGACCGTCGGCGTCGGAGGTGCTGGCCTTAGCGTGGGCTGCGTACTCACCGACCGCCACGGCGCGTCATAACCCTCAAACGTCCTATAACGAATATATGCCATAGTTTTCACTTGCTGTCAAATACGCTGAACATATCCATGAGCGCAAACAGTACGATTTAAACACTTTTCAAGATATAAGCCTGACATCCCACGCGTGCCAGGCACCAACACACGCAGATGACCTAGCCGGTCACATTGTCCCAGCGTGGGAATATCACTATTGGCAACTGGTATGCTTTGGTATTGGTCTACTTCTGTTTGCGATACTGCAGCTGACATTCCTTCTTGCACGTTTTAGAGTCTGCCTTGCATGACCGATTGGGTAGTCAGCACGCCACGCCTTACCTTGTGCTACCGTAGAGATTACTTGTGTGAAAATCTTCTACCCAGAGTACCGTATCGGGGCATATAGACATGTCCATGGCCTGACCGGTTCGTAGTTCCAACACATCTCACCACCGTCAGACAGAATATTGTCAAATCATGTCCCTTCGGCTTATCTTCTTCTCCCAAACTTTCCCTTTCCACCTCCACCAGTCGCTGCCTTGCCCTTGATGTTGAGTCTCCGATAATTGGCATTTGCCGTAGCCTTGATCTTTCGGGCCGCCGTCTTCAGGACGCCTTCTTTGACCGGCTTCTCCTTTGCTTGCTCTGGTTTCTTTGCTGGCACTTTCCGTCTCCTCGGGGTATGTGAAGCGTCACTCGCGTAGTCGGAGTCTCCATCCAGATCAGAACCAAACTCGTCTGCTATGTCTGCTGGTACTTGTGTTTCAGGGACGGCTGCTTGCTCCTCGTCTAATTCGTCATGTGTCTGTACGGCTGGTATTGGTTTGGGCTTTACGACGTTCGGACGCACTGAGAACTTGTTAGTCTTGTAGCCCGTTCGATGGAAACGGCACATCTTACTTATCACTCGCCGTGTCTGCCTCTTCAAGCCCTTCTTCTTCCAAGCCTTTCGCGGCTTGCCGTCACGACCAAGTTGTGGCTCTTCCTCGCTGTCTTCATCAGACTCAAGGCCTCGGTCCGGGCCTAGGGGCATTGCCGCCTGGCTATCTTCGATCAAGATCTGCGGCGCTTTAGACTTCTTGGGTACGGTGATGCCTTGTTCCTCCATTTCCAATTCGCGCATAATATCCGCCTCTTTGTCAAGTTGGTCCTCCTCGTCTTTCCTCATGGCTTGTATCATAGAGCTCAGACTGCGCCCAAGGCCACGGCGCATCCAAGGCGCTGGCCGCGATATGGGTTCCTCCTCCTCTTCGCCAATAGCGCTCAGAACATTGTCTCTCTTCAGGAAAGCAGGTGTAGCTAGGCCTCTGGTTGTAGATGACGGTGTACCCTGCTCGTCTAACCTCCTCTTCTTTGGTGTGACGAACTGATTCAGGAGGAATCGCTTCCCGGCCGACAGCGGGGTCCGCTCCCCCCGTGCTCTTGACTCCAGCGACGTCTCGCTTGCTGCGTCTTGTAGTCTCCTACTCGGTGTTTGTGGTACATTTAGTCCTACATCTCCTAGTACAGTCCTCGGTCTGCTCGGGGTGCCTTGCGCGAACGGGAGCTGGTCGAAGAGACCTAGCACTATGCCATCGCGCTGAGGCGTGGGTCCTATGACGGAAGGTCCTTGTGGAGAGAGCAGCTCGGCTGCGTAATCCACGTTCTCTAGTGTATCTTCATCCTCCCTCTTCCTCTTCATCGGCGTGGACAGATTGGGTTTGGGCGCGGCTTTTGGTGTGCGTTGGACATCGAGGCTCGCTTTTCGGCTTGGGGCGCGCTTCGAGGGGGTCTGCGGCGCGGCTTTGCTGGATAATCGTACTCGTAGCTTGTTGTATTCCTTGTACATTTGTGCTGCACATGTTTAGCAGGACACCAGTGCTACTGGTGTCGCTCTATACGTACAGATCTCGGCATTGGCCTTGATATCATCGCGTCCCGCCTTCCGACCATTGTTTTCGGTGGCGAACTTCTTTTCCCATACCTTCAGTTCCTGTCGTAGCACAGTGCAGCGCTGTTCAATCTCGTCGTTACTCATGTCGTCTTGTGTGGGGTAGGAATGCGTGAAAGCGGAAACGCGAGCGTAATTGATTTCCGCATCTCAAATCGCGGTACGCGTTACGACGTGCACGCGACAAAACGCCACTAGCAGGGATGCCTCAGCCTTGCCGGCTCCACCCGCGGGCATCATCACATGCACATCAATCCCGAAAACTCAATTGGCAAGCATGACGCATCAGATATATTCTACAAAATACTATTCACAACTCCCTGCTCGCGCGCTTGAGAGCTCGAACATCATGTCGCTGATGCAGAAAGGGAAAGCCGGACCAAAAAAGGGGAATCTAGTAGTGAACAGCCTTGTCGTAGGTGGCCATGGCAGCCTCCTTGAACGCCTCAGCGAGAGTGGGGTGAGCGTGACATGTGCGGGCAACATCTGGGGCATTGTTAGCTTTGTTCTGCAAAGATAGATGGTATATTCGACTCACCCTCTGAGCTGGCACCGTATTCGAGAGCAAGAGTGCCCTCTGCGATCATCTCACCGGCGTTGGCACCAATGATGTGGATACCCAATATCCGGTCAGTCTGAGCATCTGCCAGGAACTTGACCATACCCTCAGAGTCGAGGTTGGTCTTGGCTCTTGAGTTGGCGGAGAAGGGGAAGGTTCCGTTCTTGTACTTGATACCGGCCTCCTTGAGCTCCTGCTCGTTCTGGCCGACCCAGGCGACTTCAGGGTGGGTGTACATGACGGAGGGAATGGCACCGTAGTTGACGTGGCCGTGACCCTTGTGGATGTATTCAATGGCGGCGACAGCCTCCTCCTCAGCCTTGTGGGCAAGCATAGGTCCGAATGTGCAGTCTCCGATAGCGCGGATGTGGGGAATCTTGGTGCGGTATTCCTGGTCGATGATCAAGCGGCCCCTGTCGTCGGTCTCGAGGTTGATGTTGTCCAGACCAAGACCGGAGGTGTATGGGCGGCGACCGATGGCAACGAGGACGACGTCGCAGTCGATCTGTAATGGTTAGCATTCTCTCTAAACACAGATGCATGCGCTGGACGTACGGTCTCCTCCTTTCCACCCTTGGCGGCCTCAACGCTGACGTTAACGCCGGCGTCGTGAACCTCACCGGCGGTAACCTTGGTGTTAAGCTTGAACTTCAGACCCTGCTTTGTGAGGATCTTCTGTGTCTGCTTGGCGATTTCGTTGTCCATACCAGGGCCACCAATTTGACCCAAGAACTCGACAACGGTAACCTCAGAGCCGAGACGCGACCATACGGAGGCCTATAATTCGTTAGAAATGCCATGCAAATCAGATCGGTTTTCGTACCATCTCAAGTCCGATGATACCACCGCCAATGACAGTCATCTTCTTTGGCACTTCCTGGAGCGCAATAGCGCCAGTGCTTGTGATGACCTTCTGCTCGTCGATGGTCAAGCCAGGGAAGGGTGTAGCCTCGGAACCAGTGGCGATGAGGATGTTCTTGCCGCGGACGGTGGTCTCGCCACCCTCGGTCAGGTTGACAGCGACGGTGTGCTCGTCCTGGAATGCGCCAGTGCCCTTGATGTATTCGACGTTGTTCTTCTTGAAAAGGAACTCAATTCCCTTGGTGAGGCCGGACACGGAGGTGTCCTTCGCCTTCATCATGGCGGGGAGGTTGAGCTTGACATCGCCGACTTCGATACCGCGACCCTTTGTGTCGTGGAGAATCTGGTGGTAGAGATGCGAGTTGTTCAGGAGCGATTTTGAGGGAATGCAGCCGACGTTCAAGCAGGTTCCACCGAGGGAGCCACGCTTCTCGATACAGGTGACCTATCGCCGTGTGAGCTTTTGAACTGCGCAATCGCCATGTTTGTCGTCGCTAACCTTCATGCCCGCCTGTCCTGCCTTGATGGCTGCGACATAGCCTGCGACACCACCACCGATGATGACTAGGTCCTTGTCCTCTATCCAAGAATTAGCACATGATCCCCTCTAAACCTCGTAGTAATGCGACTTACCAGCCTCCGACGCATAGCCTCGTCGTAACCGGTTCTGGAAGTAGATGTTGGATGCGCAAAATGTCTTTTGGGAGACGGGCCGCGTCGCCCTCTGCATGGCGCGGGGTGCCAGTGAGCGGAACATGGTGGAGACTACCGAAGAATCGCTACCAAGAGAAGCCGTGAAGTGTACGGCGGGGATGACAGGCGTCAATGGATGGGGCGTGGGATGGGAGATGTGGTTGAGCTTTTTGCGGAGCTCGGCCGGGAAGGTCTATGCGGCTTCCGTAGGGTCAAGGGTGGCGCCAAGCTGACAAAGTGCCTCACATCTACTCCGTAACATCTTCGTCTCAGTGTCCCGGCAACCGGTATCGCATTACTCTATATGGCAAATAAAGGGTATTCTGGCTATATGTAACGGCAATGACTCATCCCTTCCTATTCTCAGTCCTCCGTCAACGTCGTGGTGGCCAGTACTCTCGTCAACATGTCTATTATTGACTTGCAGGCCCATCGAACAGTCTCTTTCTCATGCTTCTCGACGATCTCTGTCTTGCTGACAATCTTCTTGAGGAAGAACTGCAGCCCAGCAATCATCTCAGGAGCCTGATCCACCTCCACAAATACTTCGCGTACTGCCCGCTCGTCTCGCTTGTCCTTCGATTTGGATGCCTTGAACGACTCCAGAATCGTCGTGACTAGCAAGACTTCGATGAACGTCTTGGTTTTTGGCTGCAGGTAAGGGAAGTTGAGGTTTTTGAGGCTAGTGATGGGTAGAGCTTTCCGGCCGATCAGTGTGCCGTACAGTTTGCCTTGGTTAACAAGTTTGCGAAGAGATGTGTCACCACCTGCATCGTCATCGTCATCATCCGAGTCATCTGCGCCATCTTGCTTCTCTCCTAGACTCTTGAAGATATCCCATAATGCAAACTGGAAACTCTTTCGTGTCTTGTGATCTGAACAGACCTTTCGGGCGAGGACTGTGTAGTATGGGTTATAGGTCTTCTCGGCGCCTGCGCAATGCACAATGACCCGTGGAATTTCCGCCTCCTGCGACCTCTTGAGGTTGAGCTTGTTCAGTCGTATTTGAGCGTCTTTGAAGTCGCTGGCAGACATGATAGAAACGAAGATGGCGCGCCGAATGTCCGTATTCATGCGGTGTTCGCGGGCAAGTTGCACGAGATCGACTTCGCTGTCGTCGTCCTCAATGTCGATGGTCTTTGAAGCCCTGCCAGATTGCTTTGATTCCTCGGGTTTCTCCTCGTTGCCAGGTTCGTTTCGCCAACTCGCTCCCACTAGCCACCACTTGCCTCTTTTATCTGTGTCTTTGATGTCCTTGAGGCCAACACGTAGCGGCTCGGTTGCTCTGAGGTTTCTTGAATTCAGAGTACCCAACTGCTTCTTCATGCGTATCGTGTGCTCTCTTGAAAGTGCGGAATTAGCTATGCCTGTCTTCATCTTGTTGTTCTTGAGGTCATTGATCGTCTCGATCATAAACTTTGTTCGGACGGGTAGGTTGTTCTGGCCAACCTTAGCCACAGACTTTTGCAGCAAGACGACAATGTCTTTGAGTGAAGTTGGGTCATCTTGTCGCAGTTGCGGGCCCGATGCCCTGACTACTCTCAGTAGGAGTTCGGTATTGATCTCCGTAAGTTCGTCTAGGAAGAACCGGATGTAGTCGAAGACGATGTTGCTGCCAATGACTTGATACGTGTACAGCTCCGCGACTACAGATATCAGGTTTGCCGTCTGCTTTCCATTTCCGTCCTTGTTCGGCTGGTAGTGTTGATCGAACTCTGCGACGATGCGTTCCACTATTTGCGCGCCAAAATCGGGTCCGATGACTTTGTACACGGCAGCGATGAAACCAGCGTGTAGGTTTAGGAAGGTATCGAGGAGAGCTGTCGGATCCGACAACATGCCAACGAGCAGGTCGACAAGTGTGTTGTTGACGTAGCCTCGAGGGTTGTTTTGGTAGATGTTCTCAATCTCCTTCAGAATAGACAGTATGTTGGCTTCAGAGAGCCTGTTGAAGAGACCCTGAATTTGCCTCTTGAGACGCAGCAAAGCCTCCGTATCTGAAGCAGGGGCTGCTCTCAGCGCAGGTGGTATGTACTTGGTCGGTTGGGCGTTCGCAGCAACGGGGGCAATGTATGGGTTTTCTCGTACACGTGGTTTTTCCGGTTCCGCGTCCTCCATTTCGTCGTCCTCATCGGAGCCCAGGCCGTCTTCAGAGCCATCCCCAGTCTCGTCATCTTCGTCGAAGCCTGTCTCTTCCAAATCCATATCGTCCTCATCAAATGCGGAACCTTCCGACTCGCTGTCCTCTTCCTCGCTCGACTCCTGACCTAGAGCTTTCCGCCTCTTGCTTGCAAGCCAATCGTCGTCCTCTTTCCTCTTCCTCTTTGTAGGTTGGGCATCCTCTTCGTCACTGAAATCTCCAAGGTCGCCGAATATGTCGTCCAGACCATCGTCTGCTCCCTTGGACCTCTTTTTGCTCTTCACGCCTAGCCTCTTCTCCAACTTTGCAATCTCAGCGTCATCTTGCGCCAGCTTTTCCTGGGCGGCGCGCGAAAGTTTAGGAGGCGGAGGCGACGTTTCTTTGTGCTGTGAGGGCTTCGCTTTAAGGATACCCTTTAACGGTTTAGGCGACTCTTTCGCAGCTATCGGGGGTGGGGTGGCGTCGGATTCGATGTTGTCCCAGTCTATCTCCTCTTCCTCGTCGTCGTCGTCCGACTCGGCTTCTCGACGTGGACCGCGGCCATTGTGTGGATGCGAAGGCGCTGGCCGTCTGACCTGCTTGTTCTGGCGCTTCTTCTCTACGCGATCGGCCTTGCGCTTGTCTTTGCGATTCGGTGGACCATTGCGCGGTCCATTTCGTCGGTTGTTGTTCGCTGGGTCTGCTGATGTTAGCACTGAAACGTTACCAGAATTAGCTGAGAGTATTACCGAACTGATTTCTCAATTCCACGGGCAATTTGGGCCCTCCGAAAGCTGTGCGCATGTTGAGATGGTCGAGACGGTACGGTCGCAAAAAAGTTCGAGAAGTCGGAGTTTGGGTGAGAGAATCCCCGCGTCTCCGCTCCACACGGACGGCCGCGGGCATCCCACCATCCATGCAACCAACTACTACATGGCGCGCGCACCATAGCACTCGACTTTCACCATGGCGCGAGACCACCTAACCAACGAGGAGGTACGATCAGGTCAATTAGGCAAGCGGCTGTTCAACACTGACCTTTGCAGTTCTTCACACGGCTCGCCAATCTTTTCGAGTACACGCGCACCAAAGGCCACGGCAGCGTCTACCTAGTCCAGAAGCGCATGACATTCGGTACCTCTGCTACACCTCCTCCAGCCAGCAAAGTCGCCGACGATCCATTATGGGACACACATCCTGACGAGCCATTACCTGTCCTGATTCGCGCACATAACAACGGGAGCGACAAGAAGGCAGGCACCGACAGAGAGGACATCCCCAAGATAATATTGAGCACTGTGGTGAAGCCAGACGACTTGGACGCATTCTACGCACGGTATGCTGAGGCGTGTAAGACAGGCATGAGTGGGCTGAAGAAGCGAGACAAGAAGAAGGCGAAGAAGACTAAGAAAAAGAAGAAGGGCGAGACCAAAGTATGAGGAACATCGGAAACTACGAAAGCACGAGACGCACAATAAACACGTCGTTGTCATAAAGCACCAAACGATTGATCTTGAGGGGTCATGCGGGCATCATCAAGAATATGCCACTGAAGGAGAAGTGCTACTGAAAGAAGGCACAACGATGACCTGGACGACGAAACTGTAAAATGCGGCACCAGTTCACGGCGACTCTCAGGGAGTGTGGTGCACCAGAAGATACCACTGAATTATATCTATACATTGCAGTCCCCACAATTGTCCTCACAATGTCTCGGCCGTCTTCTTGAACATCTTTGTGCTCACAGGCAGTGGCTGCCCCATCCACGTCGCTCTTTGCGTGTGATCTCTCAACTCATCGTCGGTGTTTGGATGAATCAGTGCAGACAATGGCCCTCTGTTGATCACGAGCCAGGGAATGAAAGCACCGAATTGCTCTGCTGGTCGTTAGCATAGGCATAGAGGTGTGTTCTCTCCATCCCGTACCGGGTGTGAAAATGTTGACTTCAAACATGGCGAGAGGATGAGGACCAATGGGTCGATCCCATACTCGGTAGATGCGCAACTCGGGGACTTCGTACTGTATCAGCAATCATGCAAGTCGTATGCATGGATGTTGTACTTACATTCGCGGCGTATCCGTTCCCACAGCTCGTTGGCGAACTTGACCTCGTCTTTATCAGACTGGAGGAAGTAAATGTGAACGCTAGTTGCTGTCAGATACATAAATAACTGCATCTCAACTTTAAGACTTACTCGAAGCCTCCTCGAATTCCGTTGGTTATAGGAGCTACAAAGGACTTGTATGCTTCGCTCTTCTTCTCGGTTGGTGGGTTTACGTAGGATTTCCCGTCCTCAGCCCTTTCACTGTACAATGTTAGCACGGTCTCGTCTAGATACATTATGGCAGTCAAGCTGTGTAACGGAGAGCTTTCAAGTGCAACGTACTCGGGCAATGGCTCGAGGCCTTCGTAGCCTTTCAGAGGAGACGCATACGTGTAGAGATTTGGATCGGCCATCGTTCAAATTGAACGCTATGTTGATGTTCAAATGCACTTCTCTTGTTGTATCGCACAACTTTTATAATTGACAAAACAATCAACAATACGCAGCGGAGGTCTTCCGTTTGTCAGCGCGGAATTACAGCGGCCTTGGTTTGCAATACCCCAATGCAGTCAGTCAGCCCATGTACCAAGTTACAGATGCACTCATACATATGGCGTGCATCATGTCAAACGTTCTATCATGTGAGAATGTGTGTCAAGTCCAGATTGCGATGTAAGACGAGTGAGCCGTCAAGTCGCACGAAAGCCTTACGTTCAATCTGGGCAACGAGCGATAGTTGGAAATACTTCGTAAGCCGACGGGGAAAACGTGTCTAGTATAGAGCTCTCTATCAATAGGAAACGCATTGATATGACTCTTCACCGACAGATAAGGAGGCGGCGCAGGAACTATAAGTCCTTATCGATACATGTCGCGCTTCACATAGGCGTGCACGGAGCCTTGGAGGGGTGAGTCAAGCACCCCGCGGCCACCCAATATATTTCGGAGCGCAACGACCACCCATTGAACACCACACGATACCCCAATACCGCAACCATGGCCGAAGCCACCTACTACATCGACGAAGACGTCGGTCACGACACCCCAGAGCAAACTGGCGACGAATCGCTGCCCTACAAATCACTCGGATACGCTGTCCTCACCCGCGGCGAGACAGCCAAGTTCCTCACCCGCAAGAGTGTCACCGGCGAGATCGCAGAGGGCGCCGACGCGACATCGAGGTTAGAATGGAAGGATGCCGCCAAGTCGGCCATGAAGAAGGCCGTCAACTACGCCAAGACGCAGAAGAAGAAGCAGGAGAAGGACCAACAATTGCTTGCGCAGCGCATGAAGGAGGAGCACGACCGCAACAAGGTGCTGGATGAGGCTAAGAAGATTGTCATAGAAGAGGACAAGAGCCTGCCAGCGCCCATCAAGATCAAGCTCGACGACACCGACCCGAAGAAGATTACACTGGGAGATGGCAAGGACACAAAGGGCACACGTGTACGCGTCTTTGGTCGTGTACATCGCGAGCGGAGACAAAAGGATGTCATGTTTGTTACCTTAAGAGACGGCTACGGTCAGATGCAAGTCATCTTCACTGGAAACCTCGCAAAGACATACGACGCCCTTACCTTGACCCGCGAGACCAGCATGGAGATTTTCGGAGAGCTGAGAAAGATCCCAGAGGGCGCACACGCACCCAACAACCGCGAACTGCACGTCGACTACTACAAGATCCACGATGGATGGAAGGCGGCCGGTGGTGACGATGCCATCACCAACAGAGTATCAAAGGACACTGAGCACGCGACACTACTTGACCTGCGACATCTCACTCTCCGCGGAGAGACAGCCTCCAAGGTCATGATCGTCCGCGATGCCGTCGAGTTTGCCTTCAACCAAGTCTACAAGGAGATGCGATTACGCAAAGTCAGCCCGCCTGCGCTCGTCCAGACGCAGGTCGAAGGCGGTGCTACGCTCTTCAAATTCGGCTACTACAACGAAGAAGCCTACCTCACCCAGTCCTCCCAACTCTACCTCGAGACTTGCCTACCATCCATGGGCGACGTTTACTGTATCGAGAAGTCTTTCCGCGCGGAGAAGTCGCTCACGCGCCGCCATCTAGCAGAGTACACGCACGTCGAAGCCGAACTCGACTACATCAACTTCGACGACCTACTTAACCACCTGGAAGAAGTCATGTGCCGCGTCCTTGAAGTCACAATGGCCGACCCCGTTGTGAAGCAATACATCATGGACCTCAACCCAGAGTTCCAGCTCCCCGAGCGACCGTTCAAGCGCATGAAGTACCAAGACGCCATTGACTGGCTCGTCGAGCACGAGATCCCCAATGAAGACGGCGAGCCGCACAAGTTCGGTGACGATATTGCTGAGGCTGCTGAGCGTCGCATGACGGATATCATCAACAGGCCCATCTTCTTGACCCACTTCCCCACAGAGATCAAGGCTTTCTACATGCTCAAGGATAAGGACGATGCGCGGGTCACCGAGAGCGTAGACTGCTTGATGCCTGGTGTTGGCGAAATTGTTGGAGGCAGTATGAGGATGGACAACTACGATGAGTTGATGGGTGCGTTTGCACGTGAAGGTATCGATCCTGCGGCGTACTACTGGTACACTGACCAGAGGAAGTAAGTCATCCACCCACCCACCAACACGCCCATATTGTGTTCAGAATTCGCTAACACAACCCTCTAGGTACGGTTCTTCGCCCCACGGCGGTTACGGACTCGGTCTCGAGCGCTTCCTCGCCTGGCTTTGCAAGCAGCACACCGTCCGCGACTGCTGCCTGTACCCCCGCTACTTCGGCCGCTGCAAGCCTTGAGCAAAGAGCCCGACGTCCCCCTCCCACGTATCTTTGCCCCGAAGCTCTCGTTCTACGAAAACGAGATGAAGTATGAGTTGAAATGATTCGTGCAACGTGGTTTCACGAGAGCCAGGCTCCCGCTTGTGCCAGCACACATGGCTTCTATTGTCTTGTCTTGTCGCATTAGGCTGAGACGAATGGGTCCGAATCGTTAGATGAAATCATATCCAATCAACATGTTCCCATGCGCCCCCGCCTTGTTTGTGTTTTGTTTTTCCCCGGTCAAAGACTCTGTGTTGTAGCCTTATTGATGTATACATAACGAAGCGGGGGCGATAGGCCATCAGCAAGTGCCTTGGGTCTTAGTTCGCTGCTTATCGTGCAACTATGTGCGACGTGTCTGACATGGTGAACCCGGTGAACCCCCCAGTTGGCCCGCAAAGTCTCCTGCTCTGCTTCATTGATTCTCACGTAAGTGAGCCGCAACTTCACGTTTCACGTCAATTTCATTTGCACAGAGGCACAAGAAAGGTCATAGACACAGCATCCACCCAGTTCATAGACCGACTAAAACTACATGTCTTCCTAAGATACCGCATCCAGATACCCTCCCCTCCCTTCCCGTTTCAAAACCAGTATACAAGCTTCGCAAGTATACTAGTTAACGTGAAACCGGTCAAACTCGCAAACAGCGGAGGGTTGGGAGAAAGAAAGTTTAACACTTTGGCACACGCGTTCAGCTTTCCCTCCCCCCAGAAGAACGCCGAAGACAAGGACGAGAAAACGAAAAAAAAGCTCCTCACCAAGAGCTCAAAATGTACAAAGTAATACCCCGTGTGAAACTCCTCGCTATGCAGTTGTGTGGTACAGCGAAAGAAAAGCGTCCCTGGCAAAAGCGCGCAGGGACTTGGCAGTAAATAGCTGTCCGTACCGGCAAACAAAGACGTATGGGTGGGGGGAACGAACGAGCGCTGAATTCGCGCATC